TATATATATATATATATATATATATATATATATATATATATATATATATATAATTAAAATGTAAATTACTTATTATTGTTGAAATATAATTATATATGATATAATAAAAATACATTAAAAACACCTATAAAAATACATAAAAATATAAAATTAAAATGTAAATTATATATTATAACAATATTTTAAAACGTGTGTGTGTGTAAATAAATATGAATACATATAAATAATTCCTTTTAAATAAACTCAAAGTAATCTATATTTGATACGAATATAAATTCATAGACAATTTTACAACTGAATTTGACTCTGAATGGTACTTCATACATACAAACGTTTTATATCTCTTAAAAATTAACTGTAAAAATCTGGGAGGGGGGATAAATAAATAAATAAATAAATAAATGAGGTTTATTTTGACCGTCTTAAAGCATGCATATGTGTAAAATTCAGTTTTTTGTTTTTAAACAGATATTACTTTAAAAAGTGATCTATTTGTCATGCTCTAATGGTTCATCCATAGGCGTTCATTTTCATGTTTATTAACAAAATTCAGTCCCAAAAATATGTGTGCTACAGGTAAAAGGCTGAATATATTTTACAAAAGTTTTTTTTTGATAATAATATAACTTCATATATAGTTTTACAGATAAGTATTTTTGACACCTAATACGTAGTTCTCCAAACACACCCGGGTCAAAATGACCCCAACACGAAACGTGTTATATCTCTTTAAAAAATACATGTAAAAAAATCTGAGAAAAATAAACGATGTGCATTTTGAGGTTCTTAAAGCCTTTTATTCTCTTACTAAAATCTGTGCATTTTTAAAATAATTTTATGCATCTCTTCCAGATGAAAACACTCATGTGTTACGAGGGACAGAGAAAGAGCGAGCTGAAGTGATGAAGGAAAAGCAGTCTGTCTCTCTGAATGCAGAACCGCTTTACCTTAAAACATTAGCTATTTGCTTAGCAGAGCCTCAAATTCAGAGCGACTCACATAGCTTTCACGCTCGACCCGTTTATACAGCTGGAGAAGCTCCACTATACAGCTAAGTGTATATATATATATATATATATATATATATATATATATATATAT